TTATATTTGCAACCAATTATCACTAATGCATTAATAATTTAAGGAATGTACTATATCCTCTTTTCCCTTTCTTGGAGTTCATGGAGACTAATTGTCCTTCTGAAGACAAATTTACGTCTGGATAGTGTGTGCACCATTGGGTTGGGGAGGGACGGGCAGGCCAAACTGCCCATTATCAATCATTCAGTAGCGGACGATTCAATGAATCAAAGATGTGTAATGTCGAATGATCGATGTGCGATAAAATTAATATCAACGGAAGACAAATACCTCCCAGAGACCCGCTGCCAATGCTCTGTTTGTTGGCAACAAATTGTCGGTGATTCTCCGAGGCGCCTAACAATTTGTCGCCGTTCGTTTGTTATTTGAAGTAAATTAGAGAGATTACTTTTATGTGTAAAAAAACGACAGAGTACGCAGTAGAATCAGAATTCACAACGGATTATTCGTCACTTCAAGATTCATTAGCTTACAGCGTGGTGTGGTAAGCCAGTTCGCACTGGTCTCAAACGTAGATATCCCTGCATGAAAAGGATGTTGACCGCGAAACGTTAATATCTCGCCAACTTCCAATGGAAATATTCAACGTTACGGTTTGTTTAGAGAAAAAATCGGATTATACATCCTGTAATGGCAAGTATGCTAAAAATATGTTACTGAATTAAACTTGATTACTTTTTAAAAGTAAACAACATACACATTGTTGTATTATTTTATTTTACTTTTATTACGTATATTATATAATTTACACTATACGTTCCTTATTATAAGAAAATGAAAAATTAAAACCCAATAATTTTAAGGGCATTTCAACACTGCTGTTTTGTTCCGACATCGCTGCGCGCACTGGAGTCCTATTAATACCTCCCTGGCGAGAGAGATTCGGGAATTTTGAAATTTTTATGTGCTTCCGCCTACCGTGAGTTCCGCCCCTCCCTCTCACGACTCAACTGCTGTCGCTCCCGATAATGGACGCGTAAATTTTTCGACAGCGCCTCTCAATGGGAACGCTTTGCAAGAGTAAATTGACGCAAGAAAATCAATTGCATTTAATACAAATATATCGCCTGAGGTGACATGTAAAAATATTAATCGTAAAATGTTCTATAGAAAAAATTAATTACATTTTATTGTACAATAAAATACTGCTTTTCTGTGGTGTAGAAATGACAGTAAGGTAATATTTTTTCAGGAAATATAATTCTGCCAATTCTTTGGGTATACTACATGGAAAGAAAATAATTATACAGACACTTTCACGCTCGACAAATAAGAGCATGCAGGGAAACACATTCATATTTTATATTACTGTCCCTTAATTACACAGCGCACTAACGAAGTCGCTTGAATTATTAGCGATTACGTTGTCATGCTATTTCCCTCAGAACGATTCTTGAAATTAAACGTGAAATTAACTTTTCTAACCAAGAATATTTTAATATTTACTATTTTACGATATTATAAATAATTTAGCAGTTGAATCACATAGATAAAACAGTAAAAGTATCAATATTACTCATGTACAATGCGCCCACAAATTAAAAGTAAATTAACCTCAAACAACTACGCAGCCCCCTGCCATGTGAAGGGAGTCTAAAGTTTTTAAAGAATACCAGGAATTCGGGGAAATTTCAAAAACAATGAGTTTCGATTTTCACGTATAATGTAAAAAAATGTATTCTACCTTTTCTTAAATTCCAAACAGCGATTGAATTATCGTATTATGTGAGTTACTGCACACAATTCCATTGACATTACACGGCAGCAAATCTCCAAGGAAGAGGCTGTTCACCAATAAATATTTGTTATTTACTTTCTGCGTTATGAAACAGGAACATTTTTTATTTTCTTGATACGTAAAGAACTCATTTACTGTATATAGTTACTGTACTATTTAAAGATAAAGATAAATTTATTTGAACTGCAAATGGGCATAATCCGGTGTCAGCTAATTACATAAATAAGATAATAAGCTAACATGCAAATTATATAATAATAATACTAATACTACTAATAATAAATATTATAATAATAACAATAATAATAGTAAATATAATAATAACAATAATAATAGTAAATATAATAATAACAATAATAATAATAAAAACTATATTGACATAAAAACTGTCTAATTCATAAAACATGAAATTATCTTAAGAGAAAGAAACTTCTACAATCTAACTGAACATTGAATATTTGTTCAATTAAGACCACACTGCACTGACCTTTACTTCACTATCACCCTTTAATCACTTCCTTCATTATTTCTCTGCTCTACACAGCAAGACACCTCCACAAAATATCACTTACGCATCGCTCTAGGGGAGGAGGGCTCTCTGGAGCTATTAATTGTCATTCCATTATTTTCCATACAGCAATGTAACGCATCAAGATACCGTTGCAAAATTTCTTCGTCTTCTTTCGAATTCATACTACGAAATACTATGCAATTACGAAAGAATAGAGAAAAGCATCCTTTTATATTTGTGGAAAACTCGAGCATTGTGTCAATATAGCGACAATATTAACTCCACAAATATCACTAAGTGGCATGTCTATGCAACGAGTGGGTTTCGGTTAAGCCTCTTTGACATTTTGATCACCTTAGTTTAAACACAGACGTTATAATTTAAACATGTCCGTCACGATAATAAGCCGTCTTCTTTTACCGAGCGAATCACGCGAAGGGAAATGCAGCCCTTAAGCCTTTCACCTACAGACGACTCGCGCACACGCACGCCCACCCGTGCACGACACGGCGGGCGATTCGCTGCCCGGAACAAATCCATCGAGTAAAATTGTAATCCATAAACATCGCACCAGGCGCGCGCCCGCCCGTCCGCAAAAACCACGCCGTCGCCA